GCTCTCAACCATAATTGCTGTTTCCCCTCGAAAGTGTGCTCCGTTGCGAATAACCTCGACGAAGGGAGGAGCTCTGGGGCACTTCCCTGGGGCTCCAGTGGCTAAGACTCTGCGCTCCCCCTGAGTTTGATCCCTGGTCAGGGAACTAGATCCCGCATAACACAGCTGAGAGTTCACACGCCACAAGTAAAATCGCCATGTGCCACCACTGAAGGCCCCGCGTACCGCAGCCAGGATGGAAGACCCTGCAGGCAGCAACTGAGACGTGGCAGAGCCAAACGAATAAGTAGTTTTAAAAAGCGGGGACCGGGGAAGAGCTCTGGGAAAGATCTTCTCCAGGCACCAAGCCTGGGGCTCCCATCTCGATGATGCTCCATGAGCCACCCTCCCTGATGTAGAGGCCTTGGTCACTGTAGCCTTCCTTCCCAGGCGAGCTGAGGCGGGGACTAGTGGGGTGTGGGTGCCATCCTAAGAGGTCAACAGATGATGTGAGAGAGTGACTGGGAGACTCCTTAAGACTGGCTTATCAGAGAGGGCCTTTCTGAGGAAGCAGCATGCAGGCTGAGATCTGAATGCTAAGATGTAAGGTTGATGGGGAAGGGGAAGGAGGTGTGTCCCCCAGGGACCTCGTTTCTTTGCACCTTGGGTGATGGGACCATCTCCCTGAGTCTGGACGCATAGACCCAGAGAGCCAAGGTGGCCTGGGATTCACTTCAAGCCCCCTGCCTTCTCCCTCCTTCAATGTCACGTCCGCACGAGGATGACACATGAGCGAGGCCAGCTAATTAGGAAGATGTTCCCCACTTTGCTGCACTTTCCCTGTGTAATTGGAAGGCCCGCTTTCTCCAGTCAGCGAGAGCTGTTTCCCTGAATAGTTCTAAAAGCTTTGGACCACATACTGATATCAGCTGCAAATTTATGGGTGAGATTATAATGATTGCTCAGTAATGCAATATTAAAAGCGGAGGTCTTTCTCGGTGCTGAGCGAAGGCGGAGTTCCACCCTCCTTTCAGCTTAAAAACCAGGATTCGAAACAGAATTACCCGCCCCGGTCCTAGAAGTGGTCAGTGGGCTCCAGCTCCCTCCCTTCCAGATAGGGAAAAAATGAAGGGGTCTGAATGTAGCCAAAGTTCAGAACATCTGGGTTCGGCTTCCAGAACTGTAAGTTGGGGGGGTGGGTTTCAGACCACACACCTCCTGGTTCCTAGAGGGGTGCACACATATGTAGGTGTTTGCTTTTTTTAAGAGCTGCAGCTAACACTTGGCTGGCTATAACAAGGACTTGAGGGAGCAAAAGGCTGTTAAAAATCTTGGTTTCTATTTTTTTTTTTTTTTTGCACTTTTGCTTCATTAGTTCTAGAATCTAGGGCCTCCGTGGCTGCGTGTTCTCCTGCATAATTTAAGAAATTAATGAAAGCATGCCTGATTTTTCCAACACTCTTTACTCTATAAATTTGTTTAGCTTTTTTTTAACTGTCAGTTGAGGCTATTGGAGCCTAAATATTTCAATATTGAAGAAATGTGACCCTCTCCCCTTTTTTTAAAAGAAAGACATGACTTGCCCTCAACCACGTGGTGTTCTATACATCAGGTGTTACGAATTACAAGTGACCTTGGGTCTGAGTTTATCCCATCAGTCCATCCTCTGACCTTAAAGCAACCAAAGTTTTATAATTGCTGAGAGGGCAGGGCCTACGACAGGGGGAGCCCCCTTCTGGGAGCCAGCCTCAGAAACCTGGACATCCGCTTGGGGTTGCCTGACGCTTCTCACCGCAGAATGGAGATCTAAGGGAGACCCAGTTTTTTGACGCAGGAGCCCACTATGTCCTCCCTTGCCTGGTAAATGAATAAAGCTGGGCTTTTTTACTGTACCTCCCCGAAAGGAAGGGAGACCTGAGATAATCTGTGGCTTTATTTCACTCTTCCAAATCTTGCTTTATCTGACCATCAAGTTGAAGGCATTAAATAGTATATATGTGAGGGCTTCCCAGGTAGCTCAGTGGTAAAGAAGATCCCCTGGAGAAGGAAATGGCAACCCATTCCAGTGTTCATGCCTGGGAAATCCCATGGACAGAGAAGCCTGGCAGGCTACAGTCCACGGGGTCACAAGACCTGGATACAACTGAGCACCTGAGACACATGTATAACTCCAGACTCAAGGGATTTGAAAAGACTCTAGAAATTGTTTAATGTGAATATTGTTGGGGGACATCAAAAAAAGAGAAAAACAACATAAACAAATGGGAAGATAATTTTTTTTTTTGGTCACTTGACTTGCAGAATCTCAGTTCCCTGACCAGGAATGGAACCTGGAACCCTTCAGGTAGAGAGCTGTGGCCTAACCACTGCACCACCAGGGGATTCCCAAGAAGATGTCTTGACTTGATATTGTAAAAATGTCCATCCTCCATAAAGTAATCTCTACATTTAATGTCATTCCCAACCTTGTAGAATTTATGTTTTTGGAACTTAACAAAATAGTCTTCGTCTACCTGGAGGAACAAGTTTTTTTTTAAAAAAAGAAAATGAAGGAGGAGCATCTCCTACTAGATAGAACACTAAATTATAAAACAACAGTAATTTAAACAGTGTGAGTCTGACACAAGAGTCTACAGGAAGAAAGATGCCAGAACCAACATCACACCAACATGTAGGCTGTGTTGAAATTTTTTTGATATTTAGAAGGAAGAGGGGCTTCCCTTGCAGCTCAGTTGGTAAAGAATCCACAGACCCAGGTTCAATTCCTGGGTCATGAAGATCCCCTGCAGAAGGAAATGGTAACCCACTCTAGTATTCTTGCTTAGAAAATCCCATGGACAGAGGAGCCTGGCCCAGCAATCCATGGGGTCACAAGAGTCAGACATGACTTAGTGACTAAACCAACAGAGGGAAGAGGACAGGCTGTTTCATAGATGACCCTGGGATAGTTGGAAATCCACATAAAAATGGATTAGGTCAGGCCCACATCATTTTTGGAAAAAAAAAAGTGGCTCTATTAAATATACTATTTCAGAGTAAAGAATTAAACTGTTAAGAGAACACAGTTTAAATGCAGGTGAATATTTACCAGCTTTTGCAGTGACATGGGCCTTTTTATATATCCACTCAACACCAGAATCCAAAGAAAAAAGCATTGATTGATTTGGCCATAAACTTGTGTGTTAAAAAACACAAAATTAAAAGGCCAAAGCCAAACTGTAGAAAATGTTGGTAGCTTTGTTTGCCTCAAAGGAGTCTCTGGTAACAGTTGCCAAAATAAGTTAATATTCTTAATATGTAAAGAGCTCTTGTGAACAAATAAGAGGATAAAACCCCAAGGGCAGAGTGAATAGATGACATGAATGGACATTTTGGAAAAATGAAATTTCAAATAGCCAGTGCACACATGGAAAAAATATTGAACCTCATTAGTGCTCAAAGAGATGCAGGTTAAAACAGCAATGCTATGCTGTCTTGCTGGACAGCTTTTCTTTGAGACAGAGCCTGACATTGACCAGGATGTAGGGAAACTGAACAGGTGATCTGCCATTGGGTTCAGAAACTGATGGACAAGTTTGTAGCTTGATGTGGCAAAATGTATCAAAAATGATAAAAGAAGGTATCAACTTTTAGAAATTTATCAGGGTTTTTTTTTTTGGGGGGGGGATGCATACCAAAATGCATGTGAGATCTTAGCTCCCCAACCAGGGATTGAGCCTGCACCCGCTGCTGTGGAAGCTGGAGTCTTAACTACTGGGCCACTAGAAAGTCCCTAATAAATAGTTTTGTTTCCTTTTTTTAAAAGTAATGGAATGAAACTAAATGAGCAGCAGTATATGATTCGTTAGCATTTGGCAGGTCAATTCATGCAATGCTTGGCAGCTGCAAAAACTCCCAGGAGAGGAGAATTCTGTGATGTGGGAAAATGTGCATGAAGTGTTCTCACTATGTGAAAAGAACAGATTACAAAATAGTATATACAGTGTGATTTTTCTCCCTCCACTGCCTTCCCCACCCTCAACTAGGAAAAAAAGATACCCATGTGTGAAGCCTGGAAGGAGATGCATCAAAGTGTTAGCAGTGGCCAGTTGTGGGTCGGTGGTGTCAGTCAGTGACAAGCATTATCGTTTCAGCCCTGTGGTATTTTCCACACAGTGGGCAGCAATCGTGTGTGACCCTCACAAGTGGACTGAAAGGGTTCATGAAAATAACCTAAACCGGTTCCCCAGCTGCCCCAAGAGGGTGCCTGAAGAGGTTCAGCCCTAAAACAAGTTCACTAGGAACAGAAATGTGAACTCATGCCTCCTAATGCTCTGTTCATCCAGGACTTGCAGGCTTTTGTTTTGCCCCTGATGGTTCCTTGCCTCTCATATCTGAAAAGCTGTCTTTGGGAAATAACCCAAAATGTGGGAAGAGCCGCAACACAAAGATGTTCCCTACGGTATTTATAACAGTGTGAATGGTCAGTGGGTGAAATGTCCAGTCATGGGGCATGGTTCAGTGAGACAGCTCACCGGTGGGATGTTATATGGCTAGGGAAGAGGTGGGTCAATGTGAAAAAAACTCAGTGTGGTTATAATGTGGGATGGGAAAAAAAATCAGGGCAGAAAATCTCTATGTTGTGCTTATCATCACAAACGTCAGGTTCAGAAGGGAATGTGATATTATGAGAGGGATTGTTAAGTAAGTTTGATGCAGCTATCAGAAACATTTATTTTCTCTTATCTTAGAAGTTCCAGTCTTTCTAGAAAGGTATGATATGATAATTTTTAAAAAAAAATTATTCTTTATTTATTTGAATGTGCTGGTGCTGGGTCTTTGTGGTGGCCTGTGGGTCTTTAGTTGTTGGCATGTGGGATCTTAGTTCCCTGACTAGGGATTGATCCTGGGTCCCCTGCATTGGGAGCACAGGGTCTTAGCCACTGGACCACCAGGGAAGCCCCAATATTCTTTTTATAATAACTCCCCCCCAATCTGAAAAAGTAAACATAGGTGAGCCTCTTTCCACATCCTCTTTCTAGGGCTGGATTCTGGACGGCATCCCCGAGACGCGGGAGCAGGCTCTGACGATCCAGACCCTTGGCATCTCCCCGAGACATGTCAGTGAGTAAGCCCGCCCACCAGAGTAACCCCGCCACCGCTCACCAAGAGTAAGCACCCACCCTCTGCCGTGTCAGCGGCTCCCCAGTGCCCACCCTCAGCCCAGGCGCCACCATCCAGGAGGGGGCTGATGGGCCTGTGACCCGGCAGGAGCCAGGAGGACCGCACAGCCGAGTTCTCCAAGAGCTAAATGTGTTCAGGGCTTGTGCTTAGGACCCTGGGGTTTTGCTCTTCACTGTTTCAGGAAGCCCCCCATCTCAACCGTGGGAAACTCTGAGAAACCAGTGGAAACTGGAAACCACTGAGAAGCTCTCTATAAGAAATAATCCCAGATGTGGCAAAAGCCTTCTGTAGAGGGATGTCGCAGTTACTGGTGGCCCTGAAGGCAGTCGGCAGGCAGTGTTCACACGTGGGCGACCTCTGTCCTGAGATTCCGTGTCTGTGTTCTGCCGTCTCGCTTAGGGAGTTGATGGGGGTGGAGATGGTGGGTGTTCTAGTGTCCCGCTGCCCACCGTGTCTGGTTTGGCTTCTTTCCTTCTCTGCCCAGTTGCGCTGAGCGCTCCAGACACCGTCCTGATTGAGAGAAACTTGGGGAAGAGGATCGACCCTCAGACTGGAGGTATGGCAGTCTCCTCCTGCATCCGCCCGCCCTGTGGGATCTCAGAGGTCTCCGGTCCTAGTCACAGCCCCCACCCCTCATTGAGTGCCCCCTCTCAGCTTCAGCAGCAGACAGACCGAGGTCCCTGCCCACTTGTAGCCTTGTGGCGTGGGAGGACTTGGCCAGTGTCTCAGGTTTGCTGTTCTCACCTGGACCTGAGGCTGAGAGCAGCAGGCCCCGTCCTGTGAGCTGATCCCGTGAGAAGGCAGAGAGCCTGCGGGTGGGTGCCCGGCACAGAGTGAGCGCTCAGAAAGCCGCCGCCGCCCTTCCCGTCACCCCAGCATCCTCATCAGTTTGTTACTAGCAGCAGTGGGGGAGCAGGCTGAAGCCACCGCTGGGGTGGGCGGACAGGCGTCCCTGGGGCCCGCAGGCTCTGCTCCCAGGACGGGCGGGTGACTAACCGCGTCCCTCTCTCTGGCAGAGATCTATCACACCACCTTCGACTGGCCGCCCGAGTCGGAAATCCAGAACCGACTGATGATGCCCTCAGGCATCTCGGAGGGGGAGACGGCGCGGAAGCTGCTAGAGCATCACAGGAACATCGTCAGGATCCTCCCCTCGTACCCCAAGATCCTGAAGGTCATCAACGCCGACCAGCCCTGCGTGGACGTCTTCTACCAGGGTAAGCCCAGATGGCCCCTCACCCGTCCTGTCCCCGTATCACTTCATCTGGCGGCGTCCAGGGCGTGCCTGGGAGCGGGGGAGTCAAGTCGTGGGCGGCCCAGGGTCCCTGCCCAGAAACAAGTGTGGGGTTCCCAAGAGCGTCCCCCTCGGAGACCCTGGGCTAGTACTCTACACCCTGAGCGGTCGCCAGACTTGACCTGGAGCGAGGAGAGGTGGGGACAGGGTGGGAGGGCAAGGGGCACACAGGCTTGCCCTGGGACGTCCCCGGTGGTCCAGTGGTCGCACTTTGCCTTCCAGTGCAGGGGGCCTGAGTTTGACCCCTGGGAAGGGAACTAGATCCCACATGCTGCAACTATGACCTGGAGCAGCCAAATTAAATAAATGAATATTTAATAAATACATAAATACATTTTTAAAAAAGGTTCACATAAAAAGTCTTTAAAAGGAAAGAAAAAGAAATCTTGCTCTGAGGATCAAGGAGAAAGAGAAAATTTATAAAAATTAAACAAACATACAAACCGAACCCACCACCGCCACCAGAAAACAAACAACAACAAAATACACATCAGGTGTCCTGAGTCCCTTGAGGACAGCGAAAGCAGCCCCATGATGGGCATAGCCCTACCTCAGGACCTGTAATGTATGTTCACAGCGGTTTCCCAGAAAGTGGCTGAAATAGGCCTGTTTGGGGGCTGCAGATCTGACCATTGACACCTCAGGGCCAGGTGACATTTGAACGAGCCTCAGCCCCACCACACATCAGCTGTGCCATCTGTGGTAACTCTCGTAATCTCTCTGGGCCTCAGTTTTGTCATCCCAAAAATGGGCACAAAGATGGATCCTTCCTCATAGACTTAGGTGAGGCTGAGCTGTGTGAGATCCTGCAAAGCAGGCACTGCAGCCGTGACCCCAGGGGCTGGTGCAGAGTGACAGCTCAGTGAGTGTCAGGCACTGCTGTCATCATGATTCAACATCCGGTCCCAAAAGACAAGGAAGTTAGAATAATTCTCCCCCAAAGCAGCTCTTGAGAGCCCCTTGGACAGCAAGGAGACCCAACCAGTCCATCCTAAAGGAAATCAGTCCTGAATGTTCACTGGAAGGACTGATGCTAACGCTGAAACTCCAATCCTTTGGCCACCTGATGCGAAGAGCTGACTCACTGGAAAAGACCCTGATGCTGGGAAAGATTGAAGGAGGCAGGAGAAGGGGATGGCAGAGGAATAGATGGTTGGATGGCATCACCGACTCAATGGACGTGAGTTTGAGCAAGCTCCAGGAGTTGGTGATAGACAGGGAGACCTGGCGTGCTGCAGTCAATGGGGTCGCAAAGAGTCGGACACGACTGAGCAATTGAACTGAACTGAATTGAAAGCAGCTGCTTATCATTTTTTTATTTTTATTTTTATTTATTTTTTTTTTTTCATTTATTTTTATTAGTTGGAGGCTAATTACTTTACATCATTGCTGTGGTTTTTGTCATACATTGAAATGAATTAGCCATGGATTTACATGTATTCCCCATCCCGGTCCCCCCTCCCACCTCCCTCTCCACCCGATCCCTCTGGGTCTTCCCAGTGCACCAGGCCAGAGCACTTGTCTCATGCACCCAACCTGGGCTGGTGATCTGTTTCACCCTAGATAATATACATTTTTTTATTTTTAATTTAGTTTTTCCTTTTATTTATTTTATTTTTTTCAGCTGCACCATGTGGCTTGGGGGATCCTAGTATCCTAACCAGGCGTTGAACCCCAGCCCTCTGCAGTGAAAATGCAGGGTCCTAACCACTGGACGGTCAGAGAATTCCCCTGGGTTTTTAAAAAAGTCTTGCTGAGCTTCACAGCCAGTCAGACCCTTCTGTGCGATGCTGTGGGTGCCTGAGAAGATAAAAATACCACTGCAGGGGTTTTAAGACACTTCACAGTTTACAGTGCCCTTTTTTGGTATATCCTCTTAAATCTCTTCCAGGGACATTTAGTTTTGGTGGGGAGGTGGTTCTGAGCTCCCTAGTACCGCCGGCCCGATCTGCCAGCGGGTGGCTTTGCTTTACTGGGAGAGCAGAGAGCGGCACAGCCTCGGTCTCTGAAGGGGGGTCAGCGGGCGAGGGGGGATGTCTGCAGGGTGATGCTACTTTGAAAAATGCCAGGCTTGCAGACGCCTTGTAAATTTCCAGTGATTTTGCATCTCGGAAGGGTCTTTAGTAGCAAACACTGCACTCCGAAGATAAACAACCACAACATTTATCTTATGCCATGATTCTGAATTTACACATTAATTACTTCCAAATTACTTAATTAAATTTAAAAGTTCATATGATCGTTCATAAAGAATTCATGCCTGGAATTGTAAATAAAAATGTGAGCGTCTGAATATTAATTATTATTAATTAATAATGCAGAGAGATAAATTGAAAATTGGAATGCAGAATTCTCTCTGTGTTGTTTTTTTTAATCTCTCTGCAGTGCATCCAGCAACCACATATTTTTAAAAAGAATAATTAGATGTTGAGACTGTCTGGGGGATCATTACTTCTAATTAACTTAGTTATTTACTGTAAATTAAGCATCATTTGTAAGCAGGCTGCTTTGCCTGTAGTATTTGTGCTTTTTAGATGGGCTGGCTCCTGGAAGGTCTGGGGATAAAGACAGCCTTGCTGGAGTCTCTGTCTCCCGGGTTGGTCTTGCTGGTGGAAAGTGTTACCCCTGGCAGTGGGCTTAGGAGAGTGGCCCTAGCCCTGCCAACTCTGCAGAATGCAGACAAGAAAAGCACCTCCCTTGGGGGACGGTGCATGGCTCAGATCAGACAAGGCTGGTAGAGAGTTTAGCTTGGCAGACTGTCATCCTGACCATGAAGACCTGGTAACCTGCCTGTGCCTTTAGTTCCAAGACAGAGAGGAATCGTACTATCCCTAATGAACCTTCCAATAAAAAAAAATCCCGCAAAGATCTGAGACTTCAAAATTTGCCCAGTGAACACACCCCAATAGTTTCCAATTTTGTCCCCTTCCCCCACCCCCACCCCCCTCCCCCCCGGGGATGTTTGGAGGCATTTGTGGTTGTCGCCACTAGGGGGCGTGCTACCAGCACCTGGTGGGTAGGGGCAGGGAGCGCCCTGGATGTCAGGAGCTTGGCAGACCCTGCCCACCTGTCCCAGGTGTCAGGGTGGTGCCCTGGGACCCCTTCCTGTCTTCAGATGGGTTCCATCCTGGGTGAGGGGCTGATTCAACATGCTGCCTGCAGGAATCCTGGAACCTGCTGGGGATGGTCCGGGTCCCTGGCAGGAGGCGGGGTTGGGAAGGGAGACCCCCTTTTGATGCAAAGGGGGACTGGGGTGGAGGTACCCACCCTCGGCCTCAGCAGGTGGGCTGTCCACCCCCCCCCCCAACCCGCCCACATGCCGAGTGGCAGCCCTTTAACAGCCTGCCCAGCTTGCTCTGGTGCCCCGTCTACGCTCGAGTGGGAGGTGACCCGGTTTGATGTTCAGTAGCTTCTGGCATCCAGTGACCCCCACAGTGCAGGCACCTCACCCCTGTCCCCCTGAGTCTTTGTTCCTCAAATGCCAGGGCACCCCAGGCAAGGCCTCTGTCTGCCCACACCAGGACCTGTTTGATCACGGCCTCTTTGGAGACTCGCGACAAAGTTGCTGTCACTGGAGTGAGGCTGCAATTTATTCTCCACCAATTCCGGAGACCTTTAGAAGTTCCCCATGTGCCAGGCCCCCGCATGGCCTGACGCGTTTATCAAAGCTTGTGTCTGACTCTAGGAGGTTGGCCTGGTCCGGGGCCTCAGGCTGAACCTCAGCCTGCATTCAATTGAGAAACATCTCAGCACAGTTTTTTTTTTTTTTGGCCATCCATGCTGCTTGGCATGCAGGATCTTCTTTCCCTGACCAGGGATCGAACCCACACCCCCTGCAGTGGAAGCATGGGCTTATGATTACTGGACCCCCAGAGAGGTCCCCCAGACCAACATTTGTGTTTTCTGTGTCCCAGGACCAGCCCTCAGCAGCACCCCCAGCCCCCCGCAGACCCCGTGCTGCGTCAGGAATCCCGGGACGGTGTGCTCTCTGAGGGCGGCCTCTGTGCCTCTCATTGTCCCCTCCCGCCTTGGTGCCCAGGCCTGAAGGGTAACTCCTTGCCCGCAGCTTCACCCTGTGGTCGCCCGCCAGATGCCCAGAGGTTTCCCCCAGGGCCGAAAACAGAGTAATTCCTGCTGTTTAAAGAGCCCGCTCAGAGGTGGTGTGAGCTGGCCCCCATTCTGTAGGAGCCGGGCTTATCACCCTGCCCTCCTCTCGTTCCAGCGCTGACCTACGTCCGAACCAGCCATCGATCCAATGCCCCCTTCACCCCAAGGGTGCTGCTTTGCGGGCCCGTGGGCAGCGGGAAAAGCCTGCAGGCCGCCCTCCTGGCCCAGAAATACGGTCTCATCAACGGTAAGTGCCCTGGTGCTGCCCTGCTTCCAGAACCTTCCATGGCGTCCTGCTCTCCCAGGCCCTCCTGTGTCATGGGAGCAGTGAGGGGATCGGCATCACTTCTCTTTCTTGCTCTCTGCTCCGAACAGTTTCCAGTTAATCCATCTTTGCACGGATAAGGTTTTCTGCCTCCTAAAGAACATGGCCATGAAAACATTAACCAATAAAAACCTGTCTGCAGCCCAAAGCACTAGACCGTTTTCTGGTCCTCATCTTTTATGTCCTTTGGCTCAGTGGTTTTTCTGTGCTTTGCCCCAGAGGCGCCCCATCCCCCAGCCATTCCCCTCAAAGCCGGAGTTCTTGCATAATGTGAACCTGCTGTTTATTTATTTTCTCCAGTCTCGTTTGGTTCCCCCAACCCAGGTCAGCGTGCTTACAGGCAGACAATTTCTGAACCAGAGAAAGACTTCTCGCTCAGCACAGTTTCAATAAATATTTTACCAGGAGGAGAGAAAATATTGAAATCAGTTCTCCAGGTCTTTCCTGGAGTGGTCCCAGGTGGTCCTGGATGCCAGCCAGGTTTCAGGAGGATAAAGGGCTAGAAAGGATGCTTGTAGGAGTCACACTGCAAGGGAGGAGATGGGAGGCACTGACCCCCTCCCACTTCAAATGCTGCGGAAGCCTCAGTAACCTCTACTTTATTTACTCAGGCAGCATGAGACCTGCACCCCCAAATATATAAATCTGCACGCTTATGGCCCCAAATGATACATACACACCATACAGATATACATGTATACCAACACACAAATATATACATGCCACCCTAGAATGCTCAAGTTTTGAATAAAAAATGCTTTTCAGTTAGGTCTCCAACTTAAAATCCCAAAGCCACTGAGATTCCCAGCCAGGAATCAATGACAAAAGTTGAAGGTGGAGAACTGAATGCTTATTCCATTAAGTATGGAAAAATAGCAATAGTTGTGTGAGTGTTTTAGTAAAGTGAATAAATAGCAGTATTCCATTTTGGTTAGCATGGAAAAATCATCTGGATACTTTACAATAAAAGGTATGCTTTTCTTGTATCCAAGTTTTGTTTTGTTTTTTAAGTATAATTATTCAAATAATTCCTTCTCCTTTTGTGTTTACCTCTTAAGAATACTATAAGACTAGAATTCCAGCTGCTGTTACGGATGACTAAAGAATGAGCCCCACTATACTTGTGGCCACACCCACAGGTTTATTTAGCTTCTTGGTGAAGACACGTGAAGAAACAGTAAGAAGAGCCTTAATGGCAGCAGGAGGGTCTAAAAAACACTAAAGTGACACCTTAATATTGTGCAAAGCAATTTAGATAATTGTCACTGGGCCAAAGCTTGTTTATACAGACAGGCTCGTTCAAGAAAAGTGTTGTTTAGTTTAAATTGTTTTCGTAAAGAAATCAGATTCGCCTAGAGTTTTCCAAACAGAAAATAGAAAAGCTCACGCTGGTTTTTGCTTGGTAGCCAAAGAGTCATTTGGGGCTCGTTTCAATAACTGAGCATTTGGAGACTGATTCAAAGTTCACATTTCTCAAAGGTGTTTTTGAGAAACCCAAGATGTCGTTAAGATTTCAGTAAACCTAGTTAGGGGACCTGTGGTTGGCAGAGGCAAGCGCTGAGCTGTTGGGTGGGGTCTCTCTGCAGAGACCTGTCTGCACCCAAAGCTCTAGGAACTGCCGCTCTGCCCCCAGGGGCCCCCCACTGCCCCCCTGCCGCCCCCCACCACAACCCCCTGCCTTGGGTTTTCACATTTATGAACCTCTCACTTGTGGGAAAACATCTCAGAACAAACAAGCCACATTCACTCCCACAAGGTTTATTGAAAGACTCCTGTCTATAGCTGGCGAGAATATAAACAGGCACAACCTTTTGTAAGATAAAGGCCACTACTGATTAACATATGACCCATGCTCATCCTTTGGCTCCCTGATTTCACACCTAGGACTTTATTCTGCTGCAACACTCCCCCAGATACTCAAAAAAAGATGTGAAGGATGCATGATGAAACATAAAGGCGACCCCAGACTGTTCATAAGAGCGCTAGTTAAGTAAGCTGTGGGCAGCTTTAAAAAGAAACCTGTAAAGTGACTCCATGTCCCTTAAGTGTTATTACCTGGGAGCGGAATGGAAAACAAAGTCACTTGATAGCGTTGAGGGGATGGTCTCATCTTTGTTCAGAAAAGTGTGTTAGTCTGGGCTCAGAAAACGTCTGAAGGAACATCCAGGTACCAAACTGGTTATCTCTAGGGTGATGTGTTGTTACACAATTCTGATTTTTTTCCCTGCACTGAGCATGGATTTTCTAACCAGAAACAACCATGAAGGTTTTTTTGGTTTTTTTTTTTTTTGGCCATAGTGAGCAGCACGTGGGATCTTAAGTTCCTTGATCAGAGATTGAACCTGTGCCCCCTGCATGGGGAACTCAGAGTCTTAACCACTGGACCACCAGGGAAGTCCCAAGATTTTTATTAAAATGCTATTAATTTCACTCATTGCATGTCTGCAATATGCAGTGCATTTTATTTGTTACATAGGTAGGGAAACTGTAGAAAAAAGAAGAGGCTCACTTAAGGATGGAGGTGGGCTCATGCTGAGCTGGAGGAATGAGGTGAGGCAGGGCTTATCCCAACACAGCCCCAGGTCACAGGTGTCTGAAGCCTCGGTTCTTTGACCCTCTAGGAAGAGGATACTGTTACAGTATCGTCTTAGAATATTGTAGAGTGAGGTGGCTACAGGCAGAGGCTTTAAACCATTCTCCTAGTATAAGTGGGCCTTCCCTGGTGGCTCAGATGGTAAAAGAATGCGTGCAAAGCAATATGGGAGACCCAGGTTTGATCCCTAGGTTGGGAAGATCCCCTTCTCCAGGGGAGATGGCAACCCACTCCCGTATTCTTGCCTGGAGGATTCCACAGACAGAGAAGCCTGTGGGTTGCAGAGAGTCAGACAAAATGACTGAGCAACTTAGCACTTTGACTTTTTCCACTATAAGCACTTAATGTTACACAATTATCTCTAAACACTTCTTTGGTTGCATCTCACAAAATTTTAATATGCTGTGTTTTATCATTCATTTCAAAGTATTTTCTAATCTCCTTTGTGGTTTTTTTGACCCATGCATTATTTAGAAGTATACTGCTCACTGTCCAAATATTTGGGAATTTCCCAGATTGTTTTTTGTTCCTTTAATTCTCTTGAGGTCAAAGGACATACCCTATATGATTTCAGCCCTTTGAAATGTATTGAGACTTCTTTTATGGCCCAGCACATGTCCATATTGGTGAAATGCATGTGCACTTGAAAAGAATATACACACTGGTTTTGTTGAATACCACGCTCTAAGAATGTCAGTGGGGTGGGGTGTCTGATAGTGTGATCATTTCCTCGGTGTCCTTCATGATTTCTCTCTGCTTATTATTTCAGTAGCTGAGAAAGGTGCATTAAAAGCTCCAGCTCTGCCTGCAGGTTTCTCTATTTTTCTGCCGGTCTTTGCTTCCTGAAATCTGAGGCTGTGTGTGCATTAAGGAGTGTGGCCTCTTCTTGGTGCCGTCTCCCCTTATGGTTAGGAAGCACTCCTCCACCTCTCCAGTAATACTCATTTTCTCCAAGCCCACTTTATCTGATAAGTATAACCTCTATTCTTTCTTTTTTTGAACTATCCATGTCTTATATTATAAATATGTGTCTTGTAGACAACACATAATTGCTTTGAAAAAAATTCAGCCTGACATTTTCTGCCTTTTAATTGAAGTGTTTAGTCCATTTCCCTTTAAAGTCATTCTTTATATGGTTGGTTTCAAGTCGACCATTCTGATTTTTTGTCTTCTATTTGTGTGTTTTTTGTGTTTTTTTTTTGGCTGTGGTAGATCTTCATTGCTGCCTGTGAGCTTCTCTAGCTGTGGCTTGAGGGCTCCAGAGCCTGGGCTCAGGACGTGTGCACGGGTTTAGTCGCCCTGCAGCATGTGGGGTCCTCCCAGACCAGGCGTCTAACCCACGTCCTCTGTATTGGCAGGCGGCCCTTTAACCACCAGACTGCCAGGGAAGCCCTTGTTCTTTGTTCTTCCTTTCCTGCCTGCTTTTGGATTGGTCAAAAACATTTTCTAGTAACGCACTTTACTTCCCCCATTGCCCTTCTGGCTGTACCTCCTTGGATCGTCTCATGTGTGGCTGCTCTAAGGGTCACATGTTGTCCTTCACAGTCTGCCCTGAGTCAATGCCGCGCCTCTCCGTGGGGAGCAGGAGGGCCTGGCGGTATCTTCCCCTCTGGCCTCTCCGTGGGGAGCAGGAGGGCCTGGCAGTGTCTTTCGCCGTGCTCTGGTTCTTCGTGTTACTGCAGTCACGTGCTTTACTCCTACGCATGTCATCAGCCCTACAGTATATTGTGATTATTTTTGCTTTAAACAGTCATTTTTTTTTAAGTCAAGAGACAGGGGGAAAGGGCTTTTATATATACTCAGTATCAACACTTTTCACTCCTTTGTTTAGATCCAAGTCTCCATCTGATATATCATTTTCTTTCAGCCTAAAGAACTTCCTTTAACATGTCTTGTAGTGCAAGTCTGCTGGTGAAATTCGGCTTTCATCTGTCTGAAAATGTCTTTATCTCACCTTCGTTCTTGAAGGATGTTTTTGCTGCATATAGAAATCTATGTTGACAGGTTCCCCCCCCCTTAGCACTTTAAAGATATCATTTCATTGTTGCATTGACGCATTCCATTGCATTGCTTCTGATGAGAACTCAGAGATTATTTTTTATCTTTGTTCTCCTATATATAAAGCATCTCACTCACTCCTAGTTGCTCCTAATATTTTCTGTTTGGTTTTCAAAAATTTAACTATAATGTATCAAGGTGCAGTTTATTTTGTGTTCTTTTTGCTTGGCTATCAGAGAGTCTTGGGTCTATGGGTTGATACTTTTTATCAAATTTTGAAAATCTTCTCCCATTTTCTCAAATATTCCCTCTCCCCCCCAATCCGTCCCTCCCTCTCCCCTCTTTTTAGTTACATGTATGTTAAACTGTTTGCTATTGCCTTCCAGCTCTTTGAAGTTTTACTCTTTTCTCCCCCCAGCCCCCTCCCCACCTTCTCCTTGCTTCCTTGTGAATACTTCCTAGTGCCTATTTTCATATCTTCAGATTCACTGATTGCAGCTTATTCAGTGATGTTTTCCATTGAAGAATATTGTATTTCCCAGTTCTGGAACTTCCATCTGGTTCTTTTTTATAGTTTCCATTTCTCTGCTGAGATTCCACATCTTTTCATTCATTTTAACCATCTTTTCAAGTTTAAACATATTCATAATAGCCATTTTATGGTGCTTAGTGCAAATACTGACATCCATGTGATCTCTTAACCTATGATACTAGGACCTGTTGTCTCTCCTTGTAGGGGTCACACTTTCCTGGTAGTTTTTGTTGTTTTTTTTTTTTTTTTATCTCAAGTATTTTTTTTATTATATGCTGGACATTGTGGTTCTCACATTTTTGAGAGTCTGGATTGTGTGGTCCTGCTTTGAGAATATCACATGAAAAAGAGCTGAGTTCTAACAGGCAGTTAGTTAGTTTCCTGGAGGATCAGCTTGCACTCACTGAGGCTTAGTTTTAGTCTTTGTTAAGGTGGGATTGGGCTTCCCAGGTGGCACTGGTGATAAAGAACCTTCCTGCCAATTCAGGAGACATAAGAGACATGAGTTTGATCCCTGGGTCGGGAAGATCTCTGGGAGGCGAGCATGGCAACCCACTCCAGTATTCTTGCCTGGAGGATCCCATGGCAGAGGAGCCTGGCAGGCTACAGCGCATAGGGTCGTAAAGAGTCGGACACAACTGAAGCAACTTAGCACGCACCTACAAGGTGGGATTAGGTGTGCTTCCTCTGGGGCTTGTGTATCCTTACACCAGAAGCATGGCCTTCCTGGAGTCTCAGCTGCGGGTCTGAGGTGCTGAGTGAGGTCTCTGACTCTGGCCATCAGCTGCCGGCCTCATCTTGCCCTGTGCGGACCCCAGTCGGTGCCTAGCGACCCTGTGGCCTCTCTCCCCCAGGCCCTGTGGAGCCTCCCCTCTACACATGCAGTCTGGCATTGATCGGTGACTCCAGGGGCCCCTCCTGCAGGTGTCTAAGCCTGCTCCTGCGGCCCCGCCCACTGTCCTGTCCTACAGAGTGCAGCCGCCTCAAGGCCCCAGACTCCAGTGCTGTGTCTCCCGCTGTCTGGGCTCCACATCCCCCTAGCCGTGGGACGGGCAGTACCTGTAGGTCCAAGTCCAGGCTGAGTGAGCCCCACTCGGCGTGTCTCCTTTCTCAAGGACCACAGCCCCGCATGCCTGCTGACCAAGTGCCTGAAAAGAGTTGCCTCATGTATTTTGTTTAGTTTTATAGCTTTTTGTGACAGAAGGAAAGTAGGATACCTGCTCCTCCCTCCTGGTCAGAACTCGAGGCTCAGCCTGGTTTTGGTGTCACACAGACCTGGGTTTGAATCCCAGCTCTGCCACTTACTCGCTGGTGACCTAGGACAGTACACACCGCCTCTTTGGTTCTTTCTCCTTACCTAAAAAGCTGCAGTTAGCATGCGGGCTGGATAATACCAAGCATGACTGGCAGGCACAGTGCTTGGCCTAGGGAAAGGTCTCGGCTGCCTTTATTACTCCTCGTTAGCGAGTGAAGCCACAGCCACTCTGCACACGGTCACTGCTGCTACACAGAGAATTGAACATGTCACTCCAGAGGAGTCCGTCTTTGGTGGTCGTCATCCTTTAACATTCACCTCATCCACTTAACTTTAGGATTTCGATTTCTTCAATGTAGGAGGTCAAGTCCTTACCTTTAAAGTTAAGAAAAGTAAGACTGTGCTATTAACAACTCATGAAAACGGGGCTGGACCCTTCCGGCTCTGGCTGTCAAGGTTTTCGTAGCCAAGGAGAGAGCAACTGTGTTTATTCCTTCCATGCTCGGTAACTGGCACGCCCTGTGTGTTAGCCCCAGCTGGGGTCTAGAGACACAGTGGTTGCTCATGACAGAAATGCACCTGTGCGTCCTTTTGTTGTAAAGCTTGATGGTGTCTGTGGACTCGTCATCACAGGGGGCCATGGAAACTCCAGGGTCCCCACCCACCCTTGAGTGATTAACAGCGTGAATGTGGGCATCACGCCGGTCCACATGGTTCTCTGCCAGAGTGTCCATCCTCAACACCCCCAGGGCCGTGGTCTGTACTCCCCGGTGTCACCGAGGCCCTGCAGGTCCTTCTCTGGTGGTGACAGTCCTTGTTATGTCTTCTCCACGCCGTCCATTTTTAATATGTGAGTTCATTTTTAGTATATCTTTCACCAAATGCATTCTTTTTCATTCCACAGCATCCTTCCTCGGCTTCTTTATTTCCAATTCCTTTTTGATACTTCCTTTCACTTGGACACACGCCCACACTCAGAAAACCCTTTTATTTTTTTCAGTGACCTTTTTTTTTTAAACCCCCCCCCCCCGACCCCGCAGCAGGCAGCACTGGGTTTTTGGTTTTTTTTTTTTTCCTTCTCATTCTTCCTTCTATTTAAAATTTAACGGGCTTCTTTCTGTTCCTCTCTCCTCTAGTCTGCTGTGGGCAACTGCTCAAAGAAGCCGTGGCGGACAAGTCCAAATACGGCGAGATGATCCAGCCCTTTTTCGAGAAGGAGATAGCAGGTAGGCCATGCTGGCTGTGACTCCCAGAACCTTCCAGGCTCTGGAGAGAGACTGTTCTGTGTGAGGCTTGCTGGGCACCTGGGGGCTCCAACTGGGAAAGACGACCAGGAAATGGAAGCCGGGCTTTCTGGGAGGCAAAGGCTCTGGTTTTGTTCCCCAGCTGGTCATCCTGGCTTCCAAGTGATGGGGGGCGGGGGGGCGAGGTCTGTGAACGTAATGCATCTCCCTCATGGTGTGAGGCAGCCCTGTTTCTCAAGAATGCTTGCTGTCACTTAAAGCTGGGAGCCAGGAGAGGCCCAGAGCTGCCCACCTCTTTTCCACCTCCTGTCCCAAAACACCAGGGGCCAAGATTCTGATCTGGTCAGCAGTCCGAAGCCAGGAGGCTCAGACAGCCTTGCAGACCCGAGGACTGACTGGCCACTGGGCCTCAGGGGAGGCTGGACCAGGTCATCTTTGCAGAGCCCCTCTGTGACCTAAGCTCCGAAAGCACGTCCTCGATCCCAACCCGTTCTCTCCCGTTGCCCGAGTCCACAGCCCCAGAGAAGGGCGAGGTGCTCAGGCCACAGGCCTGCTGGCTCACGTCTGGGCTCCTCCCTGGGTGGCGTGTTTTCCTCACCCACATCTCCCATGCTTCTGTAAAGGGCTGTATGTAGCTTCTCTGTGCGGTGAGCACAAGCACGTTATCACGTCTGCTATGAACAGGCGCTTATTATGAAGAAGGCCGACCCAGAAGGAGGAGGGGGCTGTGGTGATGGTCAGCGTGCGCTGGCTGGGACACCCTCACTGCCCAGTGCTCCTTCCTCCTCCTGCCACTTCTGAACAGGCTGCCCGCCCATGACCCCCACTCTGAGGGCCCGCCTGGGGAGGACGTCCTGGCCTGGCTCTCCCCAGGCCCTCCTTAAGGTGTCCTGGTCCCCACGGTGACGTTCCAGTGAGGCGGGCATAAAGGGATCCCCCAGACGCGGCGATCAGAGCAAGGAGCCATAATGATCTGAGCAGGCGAGTCTGTTCGTGTCACCGGCTGGTGAATAGGGTCAGCCAGCACAAGCTCCGGTGCTTCCCTGTCTGGTTGAGATCCCGGGGTGGTAATTTGTATAATTCTCCCTGACAAAGCATTTCGTGGTTCAGAAATAAAGACAGTGACCAACCAGATGAGGCAATGTTGACAGGGGGTAAACCTCAGGCAAAGGGAGGCAGAAATTCCTTGCCTCTTCTTTGGAACTGTTCTGTACCTTTGAGGTTTTTTTTTTTATCAAAATAAAAAGTTGTGAAAAGTAAATATTTAGGTGGTTTTCAGATTTGCACTCCTTTCAGTGATCCTGTAAGGCACCCTCTTGTGACTGGGCAGGTTTGCGGACACCCCTGATTAGATCAGAGGGAAGGTATGCCCCGGGGGCCGTTGACACTGAACTAAGGCGCCCTGCCGCCCCTGGGCACCGGACGCTCGAGTCCTCCATGGCTTTGCATCTCTGGATATTGCCTAGTTATTCATTTTCTATTGTGGCTGAAACACTCAGTGCTTTGGAACAACACGCATTTCTTCTCTCACGGTCCTGGAGGTCAGGAGTCCTAAAGTCACGTGGCGGCAGGCCTCCGTTCTTTCCCGAGGAATTCTCTGGGGACGGTCTGTTTCCTGGCCTTTCCCAGCTTCTGGAGGCCCCTTCCTCCATCATCGCAGTCAGCCTCTTCAACCCTCTCTCTCTGCATGCTAAACACAGACCCAAGGGGCCTTTCCACTGGTGGTCAAGAGGCAGAGTTGTTTTTTTTTTTTTTGGTGGATACAAGGAGACAGCGCACACTTCTGTTTGCCGCACAGGGAGCCAGACCTTGGCAGCTTCAGTCTTCATGGCTTTGTGCTAATGTTTCCCTCCGCAGCCTTCTCTTTCCTTAGACGAGGTAGCTCTACACTCCTCCACTTGCGGCAGAATTAAAGACACAACAACCACCAACATCGTATCTTCCTCACAGAAGCAATAAGTCCTGTCATTTCACTAATCCCCATCTCGCAGGGATAACAAAGAATGCATTTACATTCATCACCACTAACAGGGGCTCATTAGTGGGCTGTGGAGACGCTGCCGGGGAAACCAGAGCGCCCGGCTGCGGGAACCACCCAGGCCTGGCCGCCCGCATCGCCGCCCGCCCAGCAGAAACAGGAAACGGAAGCTTAAGTGATTCTCCACTGAAGTCGGTCTTCAAGGGAAAGTCTGCCTGAACCTGGAAGCGCCATGTTGCCACCTCACGAGCCGGCGCCCGCGCGCCCGCGGCCGGCGTCGCGCCTCAGGCGCAGACTTGGGCAAATGGTGATCGCCCACATTACCCCTGAGTTCTGATCCGGGAGGAGACAGACGGGAGGAGAAAGAGACAGGGCTCTGAGGGTACAGCAGGGCTTCCTAACACGTCCCAGACCAAGTGCAGACCTGGGGAGGCAGAGGTGTGGCGGGGACGGGACTGCCCAGGCCCTCCGCAGGAAGAGCGCTGAGTGGGGCCTGAGGTGGGAAACGAATCCGTCCACACGAGGGCGAGGGCCCGCCAGCCGGAGGGTGGACGCTGGAGGGACAGGGCCCCCTGAGGAGTGACTCTCCTCTCCCGGCAGGAGTGAGGCTGGCCAGAGGGCCATGCCTTCTCCCCACACTGCCCTGGGTCCGAAGGGTGCCCTGAGCCCGCACGCGCGCTGGGGCGCGGCCCTGAACACTTTCAGCCACTGACGGGACGTCTGGGGGAAGGAGACTCAGCTGCCCCTCTGTCCTGTGGGGCCGTCCGGACGACTCAGGTTTCCCTCCTCAGAACCTGGTGGTGTTTCAGATATCTCAGCTGGGAGACCAGCTGCAGCCCTGGGAACCCCCGCCGGGGTTTCCCCAGGCGAAACCCAGAAGGTTCCATAAGTCCTGCAAGGATTTCCAGAAATCCTGCAGGGGGCAGAGAGTATGGTAAGGACCCACAGGCCTGGTCACCGGGGGCCTGGCAGAACACCCTGCCCGCAGCCCGCCCAGAGTAGACCGCCCTCCATCATTCCCTCTGAAGGCAGGCACTGCCCTGCCAGGGGCTGGACCTCCTCTGCCAGCGACTCTGCCCTGTGCTCCCAGCAGCTGGCCGGCCTGGCCACACCTGCTGCCCGTCTCTCTCTGGGACTCCTGTCCTGGCTCCACGCGCCTCGGAGCTGCGAGTCCATCCGGGGAGCGTGGTTATGGCGGGGCGTCTTCACAGCCGTCGCCGCCGTCAGCAGCCCAGAGAGTAGACCCAGATGTCATCGTCCCCCCACGGAGCCACTTCCTCTTACTGCCCCCACGGGGCCTCCTGATGTGATGTCCCAGCCGCGACCTCCGCAGACTCAGTTATGTTCTTTTATATCCTCGTGGGTGCTGCCAACACCTCCTCCTTTCAAATCAGCCGCAAAATTAATAACGGCGCTGCTGTCCCCTTTTCCCACATTTACCGCGCACAGGACTCCAGGGCCCCATCTTCGCTCATCCCAATCTCTTGATCCCGGGCTCTTGGCGGCTGCACTGTGGCCGGAGGGTTGGGGAGACGCTTGTTCCATGCTCCGGATTTTGAGATACATAGGTCCGACCTCCTAAACGCATTCCGACTGGAGCTGAGCTGAATAGAGCAAGTTGACTCCCCAGGGCCCCACACGGTGCTCCCCAGGCAGCCGTGTCCCCCGTGGGCACAGAGAGGGGGCTGCTCATGACACTGGGGGGCCAGGCCACCCAGCACACAGGCTTGCCTGCCTGGGAGCTCCTGTTACTTGCACATGGTTGCAGAACAACTGAAAACCCTTCTGGGCTTTTGGGAAAATAACTTCTCAGCTGCTAAAAAACCATTTAAACTTCAGTGGTCAGTGCTGGCGGACTCTGTGGCCATTTAGTACTATGGCCATGTGTGCAGACATTGTTTTTTTCTGCCCAGAATTAGCCAAGGGGGCAGCTAGAACTCAGTTCTCTGCTTAAACCATCGGTGACTCACTGTGATCACCATCTCCAGATGATGTATCCTGAGCCTTCTCTGTGCTTCATTCCTACCAGAGGGCCTTCTGGACATGAGGTTTTTAACCCCCGAGACCTGAGCTTCCCAAGGAAGGCAGCCATCTGTCCTTGCTCATTGAAATTCTTGTTTCTCAAGTTTCACTTAATATGAACACTAACTCTCTCATTGGCCGCAGCTCACCCTAGGGGCTTTCTGGCTAAGGTCAAGTGTAGTGTGGGGGCTTCCCAGGTGGCACAGTGGTAAAGAACCTGCCTGCCAATGCAGGAGACATAAGAGATGCAGGTTTGATCCCTAGGTCTGGGAGATCCCCTGGAGAAGGAAATGGCTACCCACTCCAGTATTCCTGCCTGGGAAATCCCATGAACAGTGGAGCCTGGCGGGCTACAGTCCGTGGGGTCGCAAAGAGTTGGACACAGCTGAGCACACGTGGCTTTATTTTTAGTCCTTCTGGGAATTTCAGCCATAAATTACGGTCCTGTGGCTGCTGGTGGTAGATGTTAATATAACCTCATTCCAGACAGCTGGGTCTAATCAGTGGTACGCCGCCGTCTCTGGTTCAGAATGGTGGCCTTCTCCCCTGGCTCTGGTCATGGTTCTCATTCTTGGACGTTGCTTGTGTTTTCTCTGGAGATTGGTGACCTAGGCAAGATATTAAAACAGCCAAAGGTGTATTTCATCCTCGCTGGTTTAGTCTTTGCTCTCAGTGTGTGAGATGCTTGCCTAGAGCTGTCCCCATTTGTGCTCCATTTGTGCAGGGATGTCAGGTAAGGGGGCCGCCAGTGACGGTGTGTCCCCGGGTGGGCTTTTCAGGTCAGACTCCAGCTTTTCCCACCTCCTGGGTCTGCAGGATCAGAAGGGAGAACTGAGCACCTGCACCCGGGTGCTGCCAACCCAGCACCTGCCAACCTGGCTCGTTGACCAAGGTTGCGGGGGTGGGGGAGGTGGGGATGCGGCTCTCCTCACTCACTTCACCTCTGTAACTAGCCCTGCCCTGCCAGCATCCCCCCAACAGT